TCATATTTTTCATTCAAGACTTGAACTTAATTTCAGAAATTAAGTTTATTTTTTTGTCACGGAAGAGGATTGGAAATTACCATTTCAGAAACTGAGTCTTCAATAAGAATCCGTCAAGAAAAAAAATCCCGGATTCCCAGACGTCGCTATCACCTGCTTCAGAGACGCCACCGCATAAAAAACAAACGGACGTAGCTTTGGTGGTGTAGGCCACATGCGACGGAGATGAAAGAGGATTAAAGGGTCTTCTGTAATTTGCAAAAAGAACCTCACATTAGGTTTATTTCATATATTTACACAATTAAAATTAAAAATACATTCTTAAATAGCTTCATTGTTTGAATTCCTCAACAATAGTTTGCAAGACGTCCAACTGCAGCATCAGTCGATCTATTTTTCAGATCAATTGAACTTTCCAAAATGATTTATCTGTCAATTTACTGACGAATTTCAAAAAAAGAAATAAAAAACAATGCCTTTAAACATTTAAAATTGCAAAACAAAGCACAAAAGAAAACTCACACGAACCAGGTGATTGTTTCTTTAACCAACGAAATCCCGGGAGCATACAAATCCATCATTTCTTGTGGGTGGACCATCTTTCATACTTTGACTGCCTCTAGGTAATCCAACAACGCAGGGCATAAAATGTCAATTCCCTGAAAACCATGTTGATACCAATTGTCAAATTGACCCTTCAAACTAAATAATAACATAAATGCAAGAAAGAAAAAGGCATGATAACTTACAGAGGCCAACCCTTTAATGGAAGACCAGTAACACGTTCATTCAACCCTGAATGGATGGAAATGGAACATAAATGAAAATTCACCCAAAATAAATAAGTAAAATCAAAGAAATATGTCTTACCCACACTACCTAGTCTACACCTTGACTGCAAAATTATATGTCCATAAATTGATGAATTAAGTGAAAGGCCTTATCATAATCTAGATTTATAAAGGATGCCCGAATTCTACACTTGAGAACAACTCAACAACATACCTACAAAATCTGTACCAAGCTTCCCTTCTGTCATGACAACTTTTACAGATGTGTTTATCTTCCGTTGCAACAAATAGTGAATAAGATTTTTTTTTCAAATGTAAAACCAGAAACTATATAGATTCCTAACTTAATCTTCCAATTCCGAAATTCAATTAATTTTTTTTTCATTCAGACATTTTATCGAACACGTCATATGCATGTAAATTTACATTTCTTTTCAAAAAAAAAAGCAAGGTTAATGATATAAAATTAACTGGAGGTTGGAAATTGACAGAGTAAGAAGATGAGTAATACAAAGGTTCACAGACTTGAAATCAGATTACCAGAAATCATATAATTATACACTTATTATAAGCCTGGGAGACATAAGAACATGTGTTATAGAAGTGAAGATTGAGATTCGGAAACAAAAATTTGAGAACCATTCTTTTGAATTAGGAAGTACCTTCATAGAAAGAGGTCAGACTGTCGGTCATTGATAATGGTCAAGTAGAAGGCGATGTCGTCACAGATGGACCACGGTGGAGTGGCTGCGATCGACTGACGCGTGGGCCTAGTGATGAAATTGTTGGTGACGAATCGACTTCTACCGAGAAGTGGAGATCGATCCTAATGGAAATCGAAGTAGAAGGAGAAGAAGCAGTCGATAGGTGGAGCGGCGAGGAAAGCCGTCTGGAGGTTTTCAGATCATATGGATTTGTTCTCTCAACAGAATCGACTCTGTGATGGAAGGTAGATTATTTGAGGCGGAGCAAGCGGGAAACTGGTTCGGCGATGGTGGAGGGAGTAGAGGGCATAAGAAGCTTCGAGGTCTTCATCTAAGGCGGTGGATAGTTGATTTAACCCCGATAACGAAGATAGAGGAGAGACAAAACACATGTATATCAACCCTGGAAAGAGAATAGAAAGAGATTTGGTCGGAGAGGCGGTGGAAATTTCCAGAAAGAGAACACGTGTCGAACGTCTGTCCAGCACACCGACCCAGATATAAGATTTTCACAGAAACCTAGAGGGAGCAAATTGTAATTTGAAGAAAGAAGTGGGGTATTTTTGACGGACATGAAAGCCCAAACACAATTGACAATAGACAAATAAACAGGGACTACTTCTGCCAACCCATCAGCCAGTTTACTGTAGCTAAGGTAGGAGAATTTTAATATATATATATATATATATATATATATATATATATATATATATATATATATATATATATATTTATAATAATAATAATAATAATAACTAATTACAAAACAAATAAATAATTAAATTTAACAATTACATTGGTAAAATAAGTTAAATTAGTGATATATCAATATTTTGTAACATACATGTGATTATCAAACGTTCAAACTTATTTAATATTGGTAAAACATATACCGTTGATTATCAAATATTATATTAATTGTTTGTAGTTTAAAAAAATAAAATTTGTTTAATATTTATGTATAAAAAATGTTTCTATATTAAAATAAAGTAATTTAATTAAATTAGAAAAAAAATAAAAAAATGGAATGCTAGGAGTGTTACCACTCCCTACCAAATGCTAAGATTAAGTGCTAAATGTTCAAAAATGAGGTGGCACTTCAAAATCTGATGTGGCAAGGTGTTAGGAGTGTTACCACTCCCTTTAGCCTAATAGTTAATACTATACAATCTTTAAAATAATTATCTACGATAATTGAAGTACATCATTTAAATTTTGAAGTAATTTCGCGATAACGAGTTACACTTCAGATTTATTTTCTATGTGTATACGTAAATATTTAGAAATCGGACACCACGAACTAAATTACTATAAAAAAATCAAAAGTTAAAACCAATCTAGTTATATTTAAGAAATTCAATTTTGAAAAACTCGTTTAAATTCACTGAACAAATAATCCAATTTTTGTATTTAATTAAACGGAGAAACCTATGTATACCAAAATCAAAATTACCAATGTCATATAGCGATTAGTACTATAAAAATAAATTAGATTGAAAATTTAGTACATCAGTACTATAAAAATAAGTTAGATTGAAAATTTAGTACAAAAAATAAATTATCAGAAAATAATAATTTTCTTAAAATTGAGAAGATCGTATATGAATCGATAAATAAAAAGGTTTTTCCTTGTTGGTCCTACACACCTAATGGCATTTTGGATGAGTTAGTAGTGAGGCCCCTCAGTGTTAGGTTGTTAGGTGTTTATATGTCCATTATCGACTTATCGTAGTCAAGTACTATAAATATTATCTTTTAATTACAACTCGAATGAAAAGACGTTCTATAAATGAGTTAAAGAATATACATATGCATGCCAATATTCCCAACTTAATGCACTAAGATTCAATAACATATACCATATAGGTTAGAGTTCGAAATTATCAATGTTACAACAACAATCAATCTGTCCATTTATTCCCTTGTAATTCATGGATTATGCATATACTAGGTTAAAGTTCAACAATTAACCCAAACTCACTTTGCTTATAATTTAATTATGAATATGATCACTTAGGCTATCCGGAGTGGGATAGAAACCCACGCGTGGAAGCTTAGGTAGCATGCCAAAAAACTCATGAACACCACCCCAAGGGGTGGTGGCTTGGGTGTGGAGTGGATGCAAAGATCGGCCACGATAACCAATAGCAAATAAGCAACAACAACGATTGTTTTCATCCACTTTCTTTTTTATTGAAGTTACAATTATGGTCCTTGAAAGTGTTTCTTTATATCTTATTACACATTTTTACTTATCTTTAAATCAAATTAAACCCTCAGTTATATATATATATATATATATATATATATATATATATATATATATATATATATATATATATATATATATATATATATATAAAGAGAGAGAGATATTCAAATGTTTCTTACATCTATTGTATGCTAGAATGCACCAATAAGAATTTAGTAAAATTATATTATTATTTAATCAAATAAACATAGATATTAAATCATTTCCATAATTATATGTATATTAAATGATATCCATAATTATAATTCTTTTTTTTTATAGAAACTAATTAAATTCGTCATTAATATCAGCAATAATATTCTTTTAGGATGAATTCGCATCTAGTTTTCTCATGTATGAATTCGTATTTTGTTTCATGACCCACACACCCAAAATACAACAAAGTTGTCTAGAACATGAAGAACGAGAGTGTATTCTAATAGAATGAAAGTTTATTCTAGAAGAATGAGAGTGTATTCTACTCATTCTTCATATTCAATGCAACTTTGTTGTATTTTAAGTGCGTGCGTCCATAAACAAAATATGAATCCATACATGAAAACTTAGATGCGAATTCATTATGAAAGAATGTTATTGCTGACATTAATGACGAATTAATTAGTCTTCATAAAAAAGAGAATTATAATTATTGATATCATTTAATATACATACAATTATGGAAATTATTTAATATCTTTCTTTATATAATTAAATAATTATTTAATTTTACTAAATTTCTATTGGTGTATTTTAGCATACAATAAATGTAAGAAACACATAAACCTAGCCCTATATATATATATATAATATATATATATATATATATATATATATATATATATATATATATATATATATATATATATATATGAAAATGATCAAATGAGAACACCTAAAAGGTTGAGAACGCGAGAACACATATAGTACATTAAAAATTCAAAATATAAGGATATTATTAATAATGTATTTTAAATAACAATAAATGAGTTTTAATTAACTTTAAATAAAAAAAACTAGTAAAGGGTATTCAAGTAATTTAGGATTTTATCCATTTTGAATATATCGAGTAGTTGATATAATTAAAAGAAACTGTTCCTATGTTTTAGTAATCAAAGCTAAGCTCTTATCTTTGGGACGATTCGATCGTATCTTCACCTGCAATGCAAAATAATCTCAACGATAACCATTTTATACAATCGTTCATTGCTATTGTTCTTTCGTAAATACTATTGTCGATTGTGCATTATGTGAAGGATGGAAGGTCAAAGAACGTCGTCGATGGTGAACAGAACAGGAAGAAGTAAGTTTCATAATCGATTTTGAATGGTGTTTAAGTGTAAAAGTAGTACATTGATAGCTTTTCAAGTTCTGTTTCTTTACTTTTAACACGATTGTGAAAACCCTAAAATTAGGGTTTTTGATTTTTTGTTCTAGCCTCTGATAGGAAGTATAATGTTGCTAAATCATTTATGAATGTTGTTGAAACCTTAAATGGCGCAAAAATCGTTTTTGTCTGTGATTGTGTATTCGAACTTGATAATCATAGCTTCTTTCTATTTTACCACGATTGTGAAAACCCTAAAATTAGGGTTTTTGATTTTTGTTCTAGCCTCTGTTATGGTTTTTGTATGTATTAGTTGAAATTTTAAATGGCGGACAAATCGTATTATGTTATAGTAGTTTATGATTGATAAAGTCAATAATGATTAATGGTGTACAAGTATGAAAGGACATATATGTATTTATGATTGATTATAGTATGTTTTTTTATACTATTATTTGTTAGGGTGTATTCGGTTAGGATTGTTAAAGGCATTTTAGTCTGTGATTATGTATTCGATTGATTGGATATGTATCTATGAGTAATCATGTATGATTGATAAAGTCAATAATGATTAATGGTGTATATTGTTTTATTAAGTTTTGACAATCATTGTTGGTTTGGTTAAACTAACTTAGATATATTGTGTTATTAAGTTTTGATTCTTACATACATTGGTGATTAATCATTAAAAATGTTATTTTATTGTTTTTAGGTAGAAAGAAAAGCGAGAGGATATTACTAAAGACGACATTCAGCAAATTCACTAATGAAGAATCAAATCCGGTGCTTATTGATATGGAAGTTGAAGACCATCAAGGAAACAAAACAAAACAACCTCCAATTAAAAGACAAATGCAAAAGAAATATTCAACATCTAAGAAAAAAATAAAGAAACAAACATGTATTAATGATGATTACCTGTCATGAAAATTGTATTTGCAATTGTATTCTATAATGATTATATTACTTTTATCTAGACAGGTTGGAATGAAAGTGTATAACGGACACCGGAAAATGCATTACAGAGGGAAAATGAACTGAGAACCAAAAAACGGTTTGACGGTTGTAAAAGAAGTCTTGAAGTTGTTGTTTTGAACTCAGATTCAAGTAATGATTAGTTAAGATTAAATTTATTAAAGCTTAGTTCGGTATTTCGTTATAATCATTTATTTTGTTTTATATGTATTAACAGAAGAACATAATATGAAAAGTAAAGTGAAGGTCAAGAAGTTTGATGCCGATAAGGACTCGGATTCAACATCTAAGAAAAAAATAAAGAAACAAACAGGTATTAATGATGATTACCTGTCATGAAAGTTGTATTTGCCATTGTATTCTATAATGATTATATTACTTATATCTTGACAGGTTGGAATGAAAGTGTAGACCGGATACCGGAAAATGCAATACAGAGGGAAAATGAACTGAGAACAAAAAAACAGTTTGACAGTTGTAAAAGAAAGGGTCTTAAAGTTGTTGTTTTAAACTCATATTCAAGTAATGATTAGTTAAGATTTAATTTATTTGAAGTTTAGTTCGGTATTTCGTTATAACCATTTATATTGTTTTATATGTATTAACAAAAGAACATAATATGAAAAGTAAAGTGAAGGTCAAGAAGTTTGATGCCGATGAGGACTCGGATTTTGAAGATGCTCATCACCAAATGTGTTGTATAGTTGTATGCATAACCTTAGCGAGGAACAAGAATCATATATTTCTTCTATTTGTCTGGGGCATTTGTTAAATACGAAAGTGGATGGGTGTCCATCAATTATTGGGCATTATACGGTAAGGAATTTTGATGCAGATAGAATAGTACTCAGGCTTCCTCGTGGTGATATACCAATAAATCGAGAGGTAATTCACGAATTGTTGGGTCTGCCTTTAGGGAATGTTGTTATAAAGTCGATGTCATATAGACAAGCTACAGACGACACTATCACTATTTGGAAGAAACAATTCGATGATGAAGATAATATTAGACCAAGGGCAGTTCAATAGGTTATTATGCAAACAACACATGCAGACTTGCTTTTTAAAGTAAACATCTTTGTTCTACTGTGTAATACATTAGGTCAATCAATGAGCATGGGAACATGTGACCTTTCCATGTTATCAAAGGTTATAAAAGACATGGATCTAAGTGACATCGATTGGTATGGATATGTTTTTGATTGCCTTAAGGACACAAGAAGTGCATGGAATCCATATAACAGAAAAGGATTCTATGTTGGGCCAATTATCTTTCTTTTGGTAATATTTAGTATCCAATGCCGATGTTTTTTAAATATATTCATTTTTCATATGCATTATCTTAAATGATTCACAATAAATGAATACGTGTATAAATTCATTAAATTGTGTTTACTTAATTAAAATTTTGTTTGTGTCTATTGTAGTTGCTATATGTAGAAAGTGTACGATGTGATTCAGTAAAGATTGTACGAGGTAGACCAACAATATGTTTTTTGAATGTTGATAAACTGCATGAGTGAGAAAGAGTTGAGTGTAGGACAATAGGTTTAGTTATGGGTGAAATGCAAGAACCATTTCAAGTCATCAATGAGTCAGCTGATACTGGTAATATAGTTCATGATACCGTTCAAGTACTAAGTTATTATATTCAATAATGCATATTAGATTTATACTTTAATATTTTGTTTAAGGGGCATTGATTCTATTCATACATATTGATAGGCCAATAAAGCAGGAGAAGGTGTGAAATTAAGTGATGGAAGCTTTAAGGTATTAGTATGATATAATCGTTAATAAATAATCTATGCTTGTTGAAACAAATAAAGTCATGTATTGAATTATTAAATTCAAAAGTGATTAATTTTGGTTAACTTATATAATCTGAAATGATTTATATAATTCTTAATATAATATTATGTTCAATTCACAAAATCTTAATTGATTAATTTTCATAAGGAAATGAAGGAAAACAAGATATCAACGGATATGGTAACACGGTTGAGGTAGTTTACCATTATATTCACCTGTGAATGATGAAGTAATTTAGTATTAATTAATTTTTTATGGCATATTTATGTTTTTATTTAGTTTGTACATAATTACATCATGTCGAATTTAATAGGCCAATCTTTCAACAATAAAGGAGATGCACGTTATGCTCATGCATAAAAAGCAAGTGTTGGAAGATAAAATAAATGAAGCTGTTAAGAAATACCCTGAGAATCCATTGGTCCAAGAATGGAAAAAACAAATTAAATGAACTATTTAAAGAAGTTGCAACATCAGAGGAACCAGTTCAATCTCAATGGTGGTATGATAATGAGGCAGAAATCGAACGTTCACTAATTCTTGCAACATCTCATGTAACGCCCGTAGATCGGGGCTAGTCATTATAAAGACAATAAGTGTTGAAAACGACTTTTTGGTAGAAGATTATTTAGAATGAATAATAATAATAATAAAAGTTTTAGTGTATGTTACAAGGATTCCGTACATATAAAGAACGCCGAAATCCGAGTTATAACGAAGTAGTTATGGCCCGTCGAAGTTTTACGGCAAAACCGGCACGACACCGGGAGACGTAAATAGTGAATTTACGATAGAGGAGTTTTTAGCCTTAGTAATCTAAACAAAAGTTGTAGTATACGTTAAACCGAGAACATACAAAAAAAGAACGCCCAAATCTGACTTCGTATGAGGAAGTTATGAATTTTCTAAGATTTGGCTTAGCAGTGCACGACCCGAAACTCGAATTTTAGATCGAGCGGTTTTTGGCCAGCGCGACCTAAATGAGAATTGAAGATCTCATTAATAGGAACTCAACGACAAAAAGACAGCCGAAAACGGAGTCAGTATGTAGAAGTTATGAATTTTACGCGGACATTTAACAGTGTAATCTCCTTGTACTGTTAAATTTAAAATTGGTCGAGAACTAGCCGATAGAGCTAAAAGGAAAGTTGTAGATCTTGTTTTTACCTACGCGTGGATATAAATAACGTCGAAAACGGAACTCGTATGCGAAAGTTACGGGGTTTAGAAGTCGGCAGGGTGCTGCTGCAAAAGGGGTGACGTGGCACAATATAGGCCACCCACGTTTTGCCACCAGAATGGTGACACCTAGCATGGACTCGACGAGTTGGAGGCCAAATCGACGAGTTGAGCAGGAATCCAGCCTATAAATAGAGGTGTCGGGTGAAACTCTTTTCTCACACCTTTAAACCCTTCTTTCTCTCTCTAGAACATCTCTCTAAGCCCTAAAACCCCCCAAAAAGCCTAGGGAACCCCCTAGCACAAGGCGGAAGCCCCGGAGCGCCCAAAGGCTCCGAAAATAAGAGCCTTTCGGCTCGAGAACGCTACTCCAGCGAAGCCCGGTTTTTGAGAAAACTCGCTGTAAGTGAGCTACGCCTAACCTATCTTTAGTATAGCTTATGTTTCAACATAGTAATGTTATTAGGATCTTATAATGAGTATTTGGGCTATTATTATGACTTATATAAGTGTCGTTATAATATCTTTTTAACTACTCGCGGTACGGGGAATCTGGTTTAAAGGACCGCATAGGGTTGTTGGATTTCAGAAGTGCTATATGCCAAAATGGTCCTGCCCTCCGGTGTTTTATGTCTGGCCCCTGTCTGTACATAGTGGTTGGAAAATATTTTTTAAAAGCTTATATAATAATAATAATGCTAAGTCTAATAATTAGTCACGGTAAATATTAGACTAAAATCTAGTGGTAATAATACTAGGTTTCGTCGGAGGAAAATAGAATCGTTAGAAGCGAAGCGCTGCCCGAGTTTGGAATCATCACTTTAACAAGTGAGTGCATAGTTACTTTCATCTTACACATAGATATGAATTATTTAATATAAATTACATGCTATGTGTGCATATTGTCTGTATACTTGCCGTCTATGCTGGGTGAAAGATTTTTATACATGTTTTAAATGATTTAAACTGTATATGTATTTTATATCTACAAAATGTGTTGGGTAAAACATGGATAGATGAAATAGTTGTTGTGTGACAAAAACAAAGTGATGAGAGGTGATATAGACCATGAGATAAAGGTGAGAGGTGAACCATGAGAGAAGCCTTTTACCCAAGTGTTGGCCCCGTCATCTAGCAGAGTATGGATGACAACCACGGACTATTCTAGACAGTTCAGTGGAACACTAACAGGCTCGCAACCTGTAGGTGTATTTGAACTGTGTATTCACCAGCTACACTCTAAAAACCCATTGACATGTATTGCGAGTGGATTCTCAGAAACGATATTGTCGATAAACGAGATAACCCTGGCGACTATGAGACTTAGTGCCTAAACCCTGGCGACTATGTGACTTAGTGCCTGTTGTATAAACCCTGGCGACTATGAGACTTAGTGCCTAAACCCTGGCGACTATACGACTTAGTGCCTGTCGAGTAAACCCTGGCAACGATGGATTTCGTGCCGATTCCTTAGGATGATCCTTAGGAATGAATGAACGAGGAATAGCTAATTCTTAGAGTAGATCCTTAAGAGTAAAGAAGATAATGGGGATGGGTAATTGGGTTGATTGTTTGATGTTTAAACATAATAATTATATTATTGTGGGTCGAAAACCCTATGTACTCACCAGGTTTCCCAACCTGACCCACTCAAGCTTATTTGTATCACAGGTGTCGATATGAAGCTACTTTACACTGAGAGATTTAAAAGAGATGTAAATCACTAGTGTAAATGAATGTAAGTTATGTTTATGCTTATGTTTCTGTATTGACGATGACATCCCAAATGTTTTAAAATGAATAAAAATAAATTTCTTCGGAAATTCTTTGATAATATATTTATCATGTTTTTCTGGGAACAAATTCCGCAACATTTTTATTAAAAGAAGTACTCTGATTTTTATAAAGCATAAACAAAATCGGTCTTTTCTGGCCGTGAAAATGGAGATGTCACAGTTGGTATCAGAGCATTAATTTAAGCGAACTAGGAATAAGGATTTATTTCTAGACTTAAACTTAGAATGCTAAGCGATGATCGTGAGGAGTGTGTCTATTATATTTTAGGTAGTACACCGGAATTGACACAAGCACTAGCTTATTTAGGGAAGATGACTAAATTGCTTTTATGTGCTAAGTGATTTATGCTACCTTATATGCTTTATGATGTTATCGTTTGATCGGATCTATGGTCTGTTGCGACCGGATCTGGAAATTTTATGTGTTCAGATTTCTAAACGTTTAATTACGGTGTTAGAACTGGCATGTAACTTTTCGGAGTAATAAGGAGGAATATGCGTCTAAACCTTCCTCTATCTTTATTCTCGTCTCGATACACCAAAAGACTGCTTTGGTGTACAAAACCTCATGGTGAAGACTCGTAGTGAATTGAGTAAATGGAGGAAATGAGAAGGCTTACGATACTGAGTGGTACCTATCGTAAGATATCGTAAGAGTGATATCTTGCCTTTAGAACGCGTCTAAGAAATAATACGTCTAGTACGGGAGAAGTACACTTTCGATTAGCAGAAAGAAAGATTTTTGGTATAATCCATGAAGTTATCCTATCGTCTGGCATTTCCATCACCAACCGAGTTGAAGCAGAATTGATGATTGAAGATACGCATGGAAGAAGTCCTAGTAGAGTCTAGGGAAAATTATATGATTGTTTGGACACATTCGTATGTGTTAAAATTGTTTTTTTGATAATGACTTGGAGAACTGCGAGACAATACTTGGGACGAGTATGAGTAGGTGTGAAAGGTAGTAGAGGCCTATACTACCGGAAGCACATGACTCACACTTGGATCAGGGAAAGTCACAAGGTTACCAAGAAGCTAGTAATTGATTCCGTTTTATTCAAGTATGTCGTTACCATCGTTTCAGTAATGACTAAGAAGATGATTGTTATTCCGACCCTAGTGGTCATATCAAATCGAGTCCGACTAAGACGAGTATGTTACATGCTTCAAAGAACCAAGTTCAATGTCACATTTGACTTAAACCAGAAGATTGAAATCAAAGCGATCAATAGAAGTATCGCGCTCGTTGTTAAAGAAGTTGGTAGCTAGAAATGCTACATGTTAAAATGTGATTATATCACATTAGAACATGAAGGAAGGTATATTCCATTCTAGAATTTGACTCTAAAAGACCTGAGTCTAAACGTTGCGTTACACGATGATAGGACATTAGAATATGACGCATCGGTCCATTGCAGTAATCAAAGAACCCATCTTGAGTTTATCTCTAGTAAAGATCGAGATTGTGACGTGAAGGTTACAATTGAAAGTCTAACGTAAGATAGAGAGCGGGTGCAAGATCGAACACCGTCTGCGGTCAAGAAGTCCAAGAGTTAGATACTCATTCGAAGGAACATAGAAGTTACGATTATTACCTAAGAGGAAGAGATAATGTATGGAGTCATTATACAGCCCTGTTTCGTTGATGATTCCGGGACGTAATCATCCTAAGGGGGAGATAATTGTAACGCCCGTAGATCCGGGCTAGTCATTATAGAGACAATAAGTGTTGAAAACGAATTTTTGGTAGAAGATTATTTAGAATGAATAATCATAATAAAAGTGGTAGTGTATGTTACAAGGATTCCGTACATATAAAGAACGCCGAAATCCGAGTTATAACGAAGAAGTTATGGCCCGTCGAAGTTTTACGGCAAAACCGGCACGGCACCGGGAGACGTAAATAGTGAATTTATGATAGAGGAGTTTTTAGCCTTAGTAATCTAAAAAAACTTGTAGTATACGTTAAACCGAGAACATACAAAAAAATAACGCCCAAATCTGACTTCGTATGAGGAAGTTATGAATTTTCTAAGATTTGGCTTAGCAGTGCACGACCCGAAACTCGAATTTTAGATCGAGCGGTTTTTGGCCAGCGCGACCTAAATGAGAATTGAAGATCTCATTAATAGGAACTCAACGACAAAAAGACAGACGAAAACGGAGTCAGTATGTAGAAGTTATGAATTTTACGCGGACATTTATTTAACAGTGTAATCTCCTTATACTGTTAAATTTAAAATCGGTCGAGAATTAGCCAATGGATTCAAAAGGAAAGTTGTAGATCTTGTTTTTACCTACGTGTGGATATAAAGAACATCGAAAACGGAGCTCGTATGCGAAAGTTACGGGGTTTAGAAGTCGGCAGGGTGCTGCTGCAAAAGGGGTGACGTGGCACAATATAGGCCACCCACGTTTTGCCACCAGAATGGTGACACCTAGCATGGACTCGACGAGTTGGAGGCCAACTCGA